AAAAACACGTCCACCGCAATAAAACAAGGGAAGCAGAGCTTTGTACATTTTATATAGCAGAGCTTTGTACATTTTAAGCAGAGCTTCGTACATTTTAAAGCCCAACATTTACAACTTTCTATCAAAAAAAATCGATTGCTTTCATCCCTTTTCCCCGCCATTCCCTTTCGAAAAAATAAGAATAATTTGAAACAATCTGTATTTAAAGAATCGTAGTCTCCTCACCTGTATGAGCTGAAACGGCGGAGGTGCTGTGATCACAGCATTCGTCGTTGGCGGGGGTACTGGAGGCGGTGGCATACTAGCTGAAGCGCCCATCGACAACTGCGGCGGATATGGGCCAAAATAAGGCACCTGCAAACAAGAACAATAAATAAAAACTCCGCGCTTAGTCGAAACAAGAATTTTCAACAGAAAACTCGAGAAAAACAGTATTGAAGACCAGACATAACAAGACATGAATTATCGCTTATTCAGAAAAAAAGAAAGCAACAACGCATAGATCTGGTGTTCCTGGTATGAAAAAAAAAAAAAGCAACAACAAGGGATTCTAAAATGGATCAAAAAACAAAACCCCGGAAGTACAGGAGAACTGAAAAAGTAAAACAAAAGCGAGTAAGCTTTTCGACCACCACGGCGATTTTAGGGTCAATGAAATGTCGTAAAGGCGTACCGCATGACAACATAAAAGCACTGCGCCTACTTTATGTTCTTCCTGGGCTATTAAAGCTGTTCAGACTATCAGCATGTAGTTTAAATTTTACTCATCTGCGTCCACATGTCGCGTCGCTTATCCGCATCTACATCACTTCTGTTTGTGCTCGCCATCCCCAGCTATTCCTGCTTCGGTCACTTCGGAAGTCATTTAACTGGTCAAATTCTCGCCAGAACACGATTTCCATCAATTTTCAGCAATAGACATTTTGTCTTTCAAAATAAGAAATGAAAAACTGATGAAGCCTGAGCAAATCAATTCAATTCCACGACGGGTGGAAAAGAATGAGAAAACAGTTCGGTGTGTCTTGCATCTCAAAATTCTATTGCTTTCGATTTCGGATGTGGTGAACAGCAACTGAAAATGCCGTGAAAATTGCTGAGATGACGAGCAACTTGGTGGATGCCTCTGCAGTACGCTGCGCTACGCGCTCCTATGTAAAGCCCGTTTCATTAAACTTGCATCTGTAAATTGCTCTTCAACAATCATTTCCTCCACCTGATACTGCGACATGAGCTGCTGCGTGTACGGCTGCGCTGGTCCTGCCGGCACGTAAAGGCCGACACCCTGCATAAGCTGCTGCTGCTGCTGTTGCTGCTGCTGCTGCTGCTGATTTCGTCGAGATGTCGAAGCTGTTTGTCCGAAAATTTGTCCCTGCCTGGCT